AGCATCACCAGCTTCACACATTACTAACCAGTTAGAATTTTTGTTTGTCATGCGTCTAAAAATTTCTGTTTAAGAATTAACAGAGATTTAGACGTTAATGTTTATTGAAAATAATACAATCTGAAGTCACTGTTGTGGAAATAAGCGTTTGCTTTAGTTGGACTCTTGACCCTTGACTTTTTAACATTAGTTTTTTTTCTGGTTGCAGTCACTGTGTTTATGAAACACGTTTGTTATGGCAAGAAGTACCAAGAAAAAATGTGTTCAGATTTTTTTTGACAATGACATTGTTGTCATGTAGCAGCCAGGTTCGCTAAAGTCATCAGTGGCATTAAAGTTTGTTACTGATCACAACTGTATTTTAATGAAATAATATGAAGAGCTTTAAAAGTTACGCTGCAGACAAGTTTAGACACGCAGACATCAAGAATCAGCGTATGAATCTCAACAATGGTGATGATCATCAGACAGATTCATGCTGCAGTGCATTCTGGGTGCACTAATCATAACTCATCCATGGCTCCCAGCATGCATTGCGACATGAATAAATTATGCAGCTGCATTGTTTAGTATTTGCTTTTATTTTTGTTATTTTTTATTGTGACTTTTTACTGCCTTGTTTTGTGACGTTCAAAAATCACATAGAAATTATCAGAATATTTTGTCACCATTGCTGAGATTCATATGCTGATTCTTCATGTCTATGAGTGCCAGAATTGAAACTGTTTTATGAACCATATTTATAAAAGTCATTTAAGAAGGTTTTTCTTGCATTGTTTTTTCATATAACTGCAATAATATAGAAATCATAAAAACACTAAAGTTTTAGATAAATTGCAATCAGAGACTTGGACACACAGCATGCTTTTGTCACAAGATCCTTGCCATCACATATGTGTTTAATACACACAATTGTGCCATCCAAAGAGAAACTTACATTTAAAAAGTCAAGGGTCAAGAGGCAACTAAAGCAAACACTATTCACAAAAACCAAAACATCTAAACATTAATTCTCAATAAAGAACTTCTGTTTTAGATACTCCAGAAATAAAGTCTAACTGGTTAGTAATGTGTGAAGCTGGTGATGCTGTTCGTGGAGATGATTAATCATCTTCTGCTGAGATCTTGAGAGATTTAATGTCTTTTATTTCAGTTGATTTCATCTAAGGCTGTGGCTGAAGTCAGTTGTAGTTCTTGTGTTTCTCTTTTCTTCAGTGATTCTGCTTGTTAACAGCAGCTGTTCATCACTAATGATCAATCAGCACTTAATTAATCACATAATTATCTCATTAACTTTAACACTGCTTCAGTGTTACTTTAACACTCTTTTAGAGTGGGACCATATATGCTTCGAGCAGTGTTAATTTAACACTCGGGATTTTATTGTGTATAAACATTACTATAATATTGTCAACTTGATTGCATAGATACTATTTGGACTGAACTGAGATGGATGATGACATCACTGAATCAACAACTTTAACTAGAACACTGACTGTTTTCTATTGTCCTCTTGCACTATCAGCACACATTTGTCCTGTTTAACACTGTAAAGCTGCTTTGACACTGTCACAGTCTTCAGCTGGTGTGCCTAGGATGGCCATCAGAGGACACTGTGTGTTTGTGTAAGCACATGGCTTGTGTCGTGTTTGTTTGGTGTCATGTGCTTTCTCCTGTCGATTGTCTGCCCCCGCCTATCTTGTTACCTCATTATTGTTTCAGTTATTCCACCTGTGTCTCCCTCGTTACCTGCCCTACTTAGTCTCCTTGTGTTTGCAGTCCTGTGCTGTTTCGTTATTCGTCATATGTGGTCTAGTGATGCAAAGTCCGATTCATTTCCGCGAACCGGTTCATTTCGGAGAGATCGGCTCATTGAACCGGCTCAAAAAGCCGATTCATTGGTTCCTGATGTCATCAAGCAATAACGTCTCTACGCATTTCTTTTCTAACAACTCAGTGCTATGTTATATCAATGAAAAATTCAAATAAGTCATTTGTGTCAACACGGGCTCATTCCGTTCTTGTTGAGTCCTCGGTAATCCTCGGCAAACTTAGCCACGGCCCATTCCGTTCTTGTTGAGTCCTCTGTAATCCTCGGCAAACTTCGACAGTTGGTTGAACCGGCTCATTCGGTTCTTTTTGAGTTCTACGTGCTACTTCGGCTGTGAGTCCTGCGTCATCAACCCGGAACTAAAGTTCGAATCAGTTCGATTTGTTAACCGGCTTGACCGGTTAGAACAATTCGTTCAAGAACCTAACATCACTGATGTGGTCTAATGTGTCTGTGCGCTCCTTGTTTAAGCCTGCTCTGCCTGTTCCTGTGTGGCCTTCCCTCGCCTTGCCGAGCTGTGCCCTGTTCTGGCCTTCCTGCCGGTTTTTCCCCCTTGGGGTAGCTTTTGTTAGTTTTGTTTATTTTCATTATTAATAAAGAGCCCGATTTCCTGCATCTTTGAGTCCTCGTCTCATCTCTCCACACGCCCCCTGATAGACACAATCTGTATAAAACGCTGTATAAATAAAGCTGACCAGACATGACTTGACAGTCGAAAGAGTTTGCATCAATGCTGAACTATACTTTGGGCTTTGCCTTATTGCTGCCACATTACACATCTGTTGAGCCTGGTAAGGTGGCACTCAAATTTGAACTACAGCTCAATAACCCTTTATTTAAAAAGCCTCGTGGAACTGTCCATTAGAAGAAACCCACAGACATCAGAAGACCTCCTGCCACAGCCAGATCACAGACGCGACAGGGATTCGCTTTGAGTCACTCCACAATATAATGAACTTGTTAGTGTGTCCCGTTTGGATGTTCTTGCAATACGCTTGTTGTGATGTGTTTGATAGTCTCTAAATCCTTACCTAATCACATGCAGTGATATTAAACATGCAACAGCAGTTGTAGAGAGTCGTATGTTTAGTTAGATTTTTATCATTTAATTAAAAGCACTTAAATTCTCGGCCCCCTCTGATTGTCTTCTGTCTTCTGTTGTTGGGACGGGCCCGTGACGTGCCTGAATCAGCTGCTCATTTCTTGTTCTGCTTTATGACTTTTCATCTTTTAGATGATTTGGTTGCTGCTCTTGAGGTCACACAATTATGTTTGATCATGAATGAATGATGTATTAAGAAGTGTAGTCATTTTAAGGCTTTATGGCTAAGTCATGTTCAGTGAAGTCGTCATATTATGAAATGCATATTCAATGGAATGTAAATTTTAAAGTAAAAAGTGTCACACATTATTTTCTGCATAATCAATGTCATTTTATTTTGTTGTATTTGGATACAGCACATGGTAGCACTGCGGCGCTCGACTCGTCACATTCCCACTGCATCCATCACGACCGTTGTTTCTCAGCAGAGTTCAGAGATCACTCACAGAGGCTGTGATGCTTTGAAATACCACTCTGACTACATTTTTATTCTCATTTTAGTGTTTCGATTTACAAATAGAAAGCAGAGGTAAGAAGAAGCTTACATACAATATGGAGATATCCCATATAGCCGGGAGGGATGGTGACGTGCTTTAGGTCTTTCACAGCTTATCGTATAAAGCCATGCACTACAATTCCACCCGTTTAACTCAAGTCCTTTTTGTAGGAAAATAGATTTTAATGCGTACACAGGCTACATACTCTTACATACATTAGTTGTAAATATTCTTAGTATTTAATCTGATTTTAACCAGCCGTTCGCAGCATGACTTTGATCAGTACAATTTAGGATGCTGTGGCATATGCGAGAGAAGACAAATGATTAAACTTAAAAGCCGTAATTACTGTCTGAAGATCTTTCTATTCATTCCATTATAAAACGTCACAAATGTCCTGCTCTACAGTCTTCAGACGGGTTGGTTGAGAGGTGATGATGTCATTAAACTGCAGGCCCATCATGACATCATCACTGCTCCTCCCAGAGCCCCCCCCCC